TAAGGATGATATTGTTCCCTCTACTCGGTATTTTTATGTTCCAAAGTTTTTGTTCACATTACCGGATCCTGAAGTGGTACATCCATTACCATTAACAAAATTATTGTAGGCCCACTGGAGGCCCAGAAAAATTCGAAAGAGGCCGAGGCACATGCACAACGAGCTGTCGCCTAATATTAAGCTATCTGGTGAATGGTGCGCCAGATAATCTAGGAAAACAACAAAAAAAAACTGCTAAAAGCCCTTGGAATGGCGAAACCCTCCACCCGCTGAATGCCCTCACCCTGGTAGGTGGAATTAATACTTACTACCAGCTTGGAACCAAGGTGAATCTATCTGATCGTTAATCCTTCGTGATTTAGGATCCAGTGAATGATTACGTTAAAACACCCAGTAAATACTCCCGTGTGTCGAAATATTAATTGAACGGGTGAATTTCAAGAAGTCCTTAATTTTTCAGGAATCGAGAGAATGCGATGGTTCGCAAGTCAGAAAAATAAAATGCTGCTGCCGGACTCGGTAACAAGTCCTAGTTATCACTTCTGTGCATCACGATGTCTACTCTCCTTTGTTACAATAAGTCCAGCATACAGTCGAAGGTTAACCTCCATCAACCGTTCTTATTTTCGATAGCATCAGTCGATAAGGTTTCACTCTAAATTACTTGCAAATAACTGAGGAGTAACATGATATCGTCGACTCCTCTTCACTCTTTGATGCACAGAAATGTCGTTCCTATTTCTCCAAGGAAAACTACTAGCTAGAAAAGGTTGGCACAGCTTATTGTAAGTACTAGGCTGTAGAATTGTTATATTCAAATGAAGTAAGAAAAAGCGATGAAATGGAAACTGTCACCTTTCCTCCAGTGGCTTCAAGGTGTTTCCTTAGCAACTCCTTCGTGTGCGGAGTAGTGACGTATCCGTCAGTGGTATAATTTTCGCCAACCTGTAAAAAATAGGTTGTGAAAAATGATAAATTTGAAATGCGACTGACATCAATGCACAACGAGCAAAAATTTCAAATACCTTGTGGAAATGAGCTCGTGTACGCATGAGCTCCTCAATCGTTGCTGCACCATCGCTCTCTGAATTGAACTGTGTTCAAAAATACTCAAGATTTCAGCAAAGATAATATTACCAAACTAACCCTCGATTAGACCGTTCTGCTCTGTAGTGACTTCTTTTTCAAGCGCTACGCCCTTCTTACCCGCGACTTTTTTCTCGAGTGGTTTGTCTTCTTTCTTTGCCTGAAACGAAAACGTTTACAAAAAACGTCCAACAAACCAGCCGTGGTGCAAACTTTGTTTATAAGCGGTTTTACAGTCACTAAATTTGAAATGGAACAAAATCGAATGGGAGACAAATAAACTGCCAGCGAATCTTCAATACCTTTTTCCTTGGCAAAATCTCGTCGATAGTTTTGGGGCCAAGAAGTTCGAGAATTCGAAGATCCACTTCTTTCTTTACGTAACCTCCATCAGCCCAAGGCAAGAGTGAGCGTATTTCTCCTGAATAAAAACGATCAATAGAAAATGGGGTATATTATAAGTTCTCCCAACAGCAATATTAACACTTCTGGTGTCCGAGAAGCGCACCAATTAATAATATTCATTGCACTTGGGCATTCTGAATATCCAATGCATAAAGAAAAGGCAAACTAGTTTTCGAAAGGCAATTCGTTGCAACTGGCTTACTTATAGAACGAGTTACCCTTTTCGTGCTACGTTATTATAAATAATTCATAATTAAGAGCCCCTAAGAACGCTTCTATTTTTTCAAGAACTTCCATTTCAAGCTGATCAGTACTGGCTTACTGACCCGCAATATTACAATAGCTTACTTTGAAAATGATCATGTCATAGCGTGTGATTGAGAATGCAACACTCACCAAGCAATTTTCCAACATTAAATGCATATCGTTCAGCTACCAGTTGTTTGCTGTATTTCTCAATAACGCTGGTAACCTTGAAAAGAGATCATCTTGATTGATGAAAGCTTGTCATATTTGTACCTAGCCAACGATTAGAAGGTAGGTAGAATAACCTACTGCGTCTTCGATTTCATCGGCAGAGACAGTCACTCCAACGCCGCACGCTTTCTCAAGTGCGACAATTTCGACATCATGAACAGCATTTGAGAGGAGATAGTCCAAGGCAGCGGTCAGCTTAAACAGTTGTTTTCAGAAAGATGCGAATTTTACGGGATGTTCATAGCAAATCCAAGCCAAGGCCATAAAATCAGGACGATCAGAGTAAAAAGGCCTGTACACATGGACAACAAACACGGACACCATAGAATTTTGTAAATGGGAGTGGATCATTGTTGAGGACTACTGACAATACGCGAGTTTTTCGGTCATGAAATGCTTTCTTTTTCTCGTCGGAATAGCAAATAAATAAAATCACAATAAATTACCTATTCTTCTTTCATGTTCTGAAGTAAGGGAAGAATCTTTGCAGTTCAACTTGCAGTTAAAGGAATCTT